TAGAAAACTCCGCCATTTTGAACCCTTATTACGTGTTGCCTACATCTTGGCGCAATATTTTTAATAGTTGCGTTTTAATCATCCGCTTCTGCTTCGGAATTGTCGGTTTTCTTGTTTTAATCTGACAGGATAAAACTACTAAACCGACCTCCGAGCAATTACTACTAGAGGGAGTCTTCCCCCCTTCCCCGCGCTAAATTTTGTTAGCAACATCTACTCCCCCCGAGGGGGAAAATACCTCTTCTGTAATTGGCTTATTTAATCAGCGTTGCCAAGTTTGATAGCGCCAGTTCTGACACTTTCTGACACATGTCAATTTCTTATTTGTATTTTACGGAAAATATTATTATTTATAACGTTGTAAGGGTTGTAAATGTATATTTAAGATTTATTATCTCTAATAATATGGTGAAAACATGCTTTATGTGTAAAAGGCCTGTTGAAAATGCCTCTTCAAGATAATATCATAAGTAAGTACATACTCAACCTATTTATCAGAGGCGGTGCATTAGGCAATCACCTTTAATTTGCAATTAAACTTTCTTATTTTCTTATCGAAAAATTAAAATTAAGAGCAAGTAAACTCCAGCTAAGTTCGTCTTCATCCGTCTCATAATGATTATAGTAAAAGGTTAATTACTTATTATTATTTTAATATCGCATCTTTGTAAAGTTTATTGTTATTTTTTTAAGGTTTCCTTTTCTTGATATGAGAAAGAAATACATGGTTCCAAAATATAGGACTTCATAAAGTGACCACCTATATAACTTTTTATGCTAATAAACATTTTTATTACAGACCTCAGGGGAGGAAAATATTAAATAAAAATGCAATTTCGACGAAAGAAGTATAATAATCAATCCTGTCACTACTTCTACACTACTCGTATATTCATCTACTACTAAAATACTAAAACAGCAAGTAAGTAGAGAAACTTAAGTTTCTTTCAAAAAGAATGTTTAAGGAAAAAGGCATAGCCATTTTTTTGTTGACACTTTTTTTTAACTGATCTAAAAGACTAATTTTGTGTATTGTTTAAATTTTAATTTTTTGTACTTAATTTGTTTTAGGTTTAAACAAAATGAACTTCTAAGATATGCATGGAATATCCCAAAAGAGGTTAGGAAGGTTTTAAAATTCTTAAGAAAACTATTCAGAACCAAAAACATAAAATAGTCTTCCTGTCCAAAATATAAATAGGTATAAATATTTAGATATTATGAGTGATTTTTTATTCTATAAATAGAACATAATTTGCTTCTAAATCACTACCTAATGAACTATATATTATATAGTACAAAACTAAACAAGAATATCACATTATTCATGTTTTTTTTTAATTTCCTTAAAAAACGTCCCAAAAAAATGTGAATATTTATTATTGGAGTTTACATCGTTATGCTAAAACAATACTAGAACAACTTAAATAATGTGGATTTTAACTATTTTGAGTTATGCAGATCATTATGATCTAAAAAAATGTTTGTCTGGTGCTATAGTATTTAAACACAGTTGCAATATACATTTTATTTAGTTTTTAAGTTAAAACCTATATGGACATCCTAAAATGACTTTTTTCGTTTGATGTGAGATTAATTATTCTACATTTTTGTTGGTGAAATAGGATATTTTAAGATGTCCTACTGTATTATCTAATTATCTAAAAAGTTTAGAAGAATACAAAGACTGTTTTAACAAAAAAGAAATATACCTTTAATTAAACACACAATTAGTCAATTCAATTATACGATCATTAAAAGCAGAATTATTGTTAGAAGTTTTACCATTACTAATTTTTGATAACGATTTAAGATTATGAAGTTCTATTATGTATTTTACTCATTGATAACCTATGTTTAAATTTTTATTAGGACCAAAATTAATTATAATTTTCATTTCAACTACAAAAACCCTCATAATATTAAAAGGGGGAAAACATTAGATTAGTTATGTTCAGGAATAAACTCTTTAAACATTTATCTACTTAAAATGTGTTACTTTTAGAAGGTATGCTATTAACTTTCTATTTGTACTTGTATTAATTTATTTCATTTTATTATCTGATGTATTTTCAAATTGATTTTGATATATTTATATATTTTTTATATTCACATATATGTTTTTTTCATTGAAACAAACGTTTATTAGCTTATTAAATATAATGAATTCATGTTGTTTTATTATATGCTTGTATGAATGATTACTTTTATTTTATTTTGAAAATGAATTAAGAAGATAAAGCCGAGATGGTTAGTGAGAATAAAAAATTAGACGAAAGTGACGATATTTACTGGATCTTTCATCTACACGTTCCTTTTTCTAGCCATTTACACCTGAGCCAGCAAGATTCGTCTTTCCTCCATCCTTACATTCTCCAGATTTACAGAGAAAATGCCGTCCTCTTAAACATATCCAGACCTTCTTTGACGGGGACTTACCATTACAGCTTTATTTGTTATCCCGAACAATTTAAATGCATTCGTAATTGCTCATTCTCACCTCTTCTCTTGTAGATTCCATACTCAGTTTTCTTATTTTTAGTTACGTTTGCACTGCTCTTTTATTTTCACAGCTTTAATTCTATAATGCTGTAACGCTACAATATGGATCCATTTTTGTGATTTGTACTATTTAATGTTATTCGTAAGTGACCAACCTATTATAATAATTAAAGATTATTGTAGTACAGGCCTGAAGATGTTCCTGTAAGGCCGAAACTAGTCGCTACTGTATTTATTCATAAAAAAATTGATTTTAAGGTTTTATTCTTCAATTGAAAAAATTAGACCTTTACAGTGATTTTGTTTCATTTCCTGCATTAGACACATAAGACGGTATTCATTTTAAAAATAGTAAAATGAGCAAATTTTTTAGTTTTTTTTTACAATTAAAACGTTTGGACAATGTGTGTTTTTATAGATAAATGATACGCCACTGAACAAGAAAGATGTTTACCTTCCCCCTTGTGCCTGCTTCTTTACTTCCTCTACAGATGTTGCTAACACAACAATCTCCTACAAACTCGTTTTCAGGCTCCCTCTATTAGTAATTGCTCGGAGAAACCGACAATTCCGGAAACAGAAGCGGATGATTAAAACGCACCTAATATTTTGCTTGCTGCTGTCAGTGTCAGTGAATATTATTTTTGGAGCCACAGTTTATTGCTAAAGAATCAGTTAGCTCACTCGGACCAGTTGAAAGTTCCAAAATAACATCCACTCCAGGGATACAAATTCAGGATATGCAGAAGACTGCTGTTTTATTATAGGCGGTTGTCATATATTGTATTATCCGAGTTGCACAGTGTATAAACTGAAACATTGAGATCAAAAGTGCCGACGCAGAGTGAGCGATCTGATTCTTTAGCTGTAAACTGTGTCACAGGGTTCAAAATGACCGCGCCCTATGTTGGGCGTGTCGGACCTCTCTCTTGCCTCGTATAGTAATCAAAGTATGTGGCCCTAGATGCAAAAACTCGCTTTTCGACAAAAATGCGAAAAATGAGTTAAGCACGCCATCTTGTTGCTTTAGTAAATACTGATATTGTGTTAATAAGCACGCCATCTTGTTGCTTTAGTAAATACTGATATTGTGTTAAGGTATTAGGGGACAAAACTAACTTTTTAGCACGAGAAACCAGGTTTAAAAATCGCAGTTTAATGCAAAACTCACTTTTTGTTTTGAGGCCCTGGATGCAAAACTCTCTTTTTGCAACGCGTCCAATCACAGTCCGCAATTTTACACACGTGGTTAGAGTCGTGCTGTTTGCGTTGTGATCCAATTAGTTCATTTTGTTTTGTTGTTCAGTGAGTACGGTGTGTTTTGTTTAAAATTAAAACATCTATTAAGAGTTTAAAAAATGGAGATAGATAATGAAATGTATGAAATTAATGACAGTGTGAGTTTAAAAATACAGCCTTCCCCGAGGAACATGTGTAGAAAAAAATGTAAAGGGGAAAGTAAGCGGCAAAAGCCTAAAAGATGAATAAAATTGAAAAGAAATTGTATTATTTTAGGCATACCCCAAAACAACTGCCGGAATTTCCCACCTGTGGACATAATGGTCAACCAGGCAAACCGTATTATTGTTCCACATTAACAATGCGGCAAAATCGAGATTTTCATGCAAAACTGTATTCTCTTAAAGAAAAATTTAAACAAGATAGTTTTGTAGTTGCATGTTGTGAAGGGCAAAAGTGTAGAAGATCAAAAATTGCCAGGGAAAAAATATCTATTAAGTATTATGTTTCAACAACTTCTGCTGAAAAGATCCGTGTTTCTAAGACATCTTTTTTAAGAATCTCTTCATTTAGCAGAGATCGAATCGAACGGGTTATGAAAAATATTGTTTTAAAACGCCAGATGCCACAAGAAAATAGGGGAGGCGATCGAATCCTTGATATGAATGAGGACAAAAAGTTGCCAATAAAATTGTTTATTGAATCTCTACAATGTGTAGAAAGTCATTATTGCCGAAGTCAAACCAGTACTCGCGTCTATCTTCCATGTGAACTAAACATAACAAAACTGTGGAATATCTACCAATCAAAGGTTCACAACCAACAACTGCCTGTCAAATTGGGTTTTTTAGGTCATACATAAATACCCATTACAATATTGGATTTGGTTCCCTAAAAACCGATGTATGCTCAACGTGTTTAAAATCCAAAGAAAAATTAAAAAGTAAGGACATGTCTAGTTCTGAGAAAAAAGATGTTATCACAGAGCAACGTGTACATAAACTTAAAGCAAAAGTGTTTTTTAACTTATTAAAGAGCCCTCCAGAAAATGTAGCAGCTTTTTCGTTTCGAAAAAAACTTACCGTTGCCGAAGCTTCCGGATCAAGCTAGTTATTTTACCCAACAAATTAACTACTACAACTTCACAGTCGTGCGTGGATCATCAACAACATCCTTGGTTCCTGAAAATGTCTATTCCTATATGTGGACGGAGGTAGATTTTGCCAAAAATTCAAATTCAATTGCTTCAGCCGTCTGGAATGCATTGGTTAATTCCTCGTTTTCGGGGGAAATTGATACTATTCATTTGTTTGCTAACGGTTGTGGGGAAGCAAAATAAAAATAGTATCATGATGACGATGCTTTCCGTTTGGCTTATGAAGAAAGCTCCGCAGAACGTTAAGTCTCTCACTTTAATATTCCCTGTAGTAGGGCACAATTTTATAAGTCCCGATAGGGTGTTTAGTAAGATTAAAGAGAAAGTGAAAAAGAAATCTGTAGTTGTAAAACCTTCTAACTACGAAAAGATCAGAGCACATAGGTCGACAATACGCAAATTGAATGTAGACTGGCAGGTGTATGACTGGAAAAGTGAAGCCCAAACACATATGAAAACGCCATCAGCGTGGCACTTTCAGTTTAACAAGGCCAAGAGATTCGTTTTTACTAGAGGAAAAACTAAAGTACTAATAAGAGGTGAACCGAATTATTATGCTGATATCGGCGAAGCAAAATCTGTTCTGAAGAGAGGGAAGAACACTTCAGATATTAATTCTACTGAGCTTGATATTGGTTGCAAATTGAAGGGTGATAAATCTACAATAATTTCACTTCTAAAGAAACATTACGGAGATACCTGGTAAGAAAACCCTGATTTAAGTTTCCTTAAAGAAGCCCTTGTTACACCTAGAGCAGAACAAGACAATATGCCTGAAACTGACGTTGAGAGTGTCTGCCGTAGCATCAAACCATGCGATATTAATTTACCAATATAAATGCCATTTTTTGTATTTTTGTTAATACATTTTTATAAAAAACTCTTTCTTTTAATTTTAGCTGGGAGCAAAACTCGCTTTTTGAAAATGTTCCGACAAAACTCGCCAAATGCTTTTGTTTTTCTTAATTAATTGAAAAAGTGCTTGTTATATTTTTAAAATACGACAGGACATAACAGGAGGCATTTGTATCAAAACGATCCCAAAATTTTGAGGCAATTGGTAAAAAATTTCTACCGAAAACATTTTTTTGTGATTTTCTCAAAATGACCTTTCATGCATTAAGCGAGTTTTGCATCTAGGACACTCGTTTGATGATTGACTTGTCGGCAACTTGCTTGACTACTGACAAGTGCACTGCGAACGCTGGACATTTTGTCTGACATCAAAATGCGCATGCTCATCTGTCGTAAACTTGTCGGCGACAGGCTGCGCGAATAAAGCTGATAAGTGAACCTGTTAAGTTAGGCCGCCGCAGTCTGAATAAATTTGTTAAAGTGAAATTTATTATTTGAAAGTAAACATGAAATACAAAAATTGAAATATATACAGAGAGTTGCATTTATAATATGAAAGTTGGTATTGGCCACTGTTACATGACACACCTTGTATAAAAAGTCTTTATTAAAAAAATGCGCCACTAAAAATACCAATTGACGTGTCCGAGTGTTTTTCCGAACACGGGCCCATTTATTTATTACCGAATTAATTCCATTTGGTTGTTCCACACCGTATATGTCCCTGTGTACGGCTATTTGAAAATTGAGATAAATATAAAGAAATTATTTAATACATTAATTAAATATGTTATAATAAAATTAAAACACCAACAAAATTATAATTATATTGTACTATACTTAAACTTTCAATCAAAAAAGAATTACTGTTACAGGAAATGGAAATATGGTAATATTTAAGGATTAATAGCTGGTAATTGTAAGAAAATCAACAATTTTATTCATTGTTTTTATTTACTTAAATAGGATTAAAAATTTCATAATGCGTTGCTGGATTTTTAAGTTAATAATATTTTAGATCAACCTGAATATAATAGCTATTTGTGTATTAAGAGCGGAAAGTGCTACTTTGGCGCTTAAGAAAAAAAGTTGCCGCGCGACTCGCAGCGGAGTGCGGCAGTTTACGTAAGCGGCAAATAGCTTTCCGCTCGAATTACACACAAGATTTTTTCTACGATCACACGATATTATAGGTATATAGTTTTATTTTGCTGAATTAAAATCTTACCACGTTAACTTGATTAGAAAACAAAAAGTATGTTATGTGTATATCGCGTTGCCTGCTTACTCTTGTAATAATTTTATGATACGCATAAAAAATATTTGTTAGTAAGTACATCTTAAAAATAACTTACAAGATCATCGGTTAAAATACTCAAATCGCAAATGAATGGCTCATACACTGTTTTAAGTTCTATTTAATTTTATAAACAAAAAAATCAAAGTTAAATAAAATAAATAACTGTTGAGAATTGAACTCACGACCATCAGGTTCAAAGACAAACGCGCTAGGCTCTACACCAACAAGACATGTTAAATATGAATGTTAAAAACAGGGTAATTTATTTTTAATATTTTAATTATCATTTAAATATTAAGAAAAATAAGTTTGAGTATTAAATGTTCAACTAAAAGATTCAGATTAGTCTACAGCTTCTTTTAAAATACCGATTAGCTTTATAATAACAACCTTTTCAATGAAAAGAGACGTGTGCAAAAGTAACTTTCCGCCTATATGCGGCAATAATGTCAAACTATGAAAATTCATGGAAAACGTTAACTTTCCAGTTAGATTTGAATGTGCAAAAGCCTACTTTGGATAGTGATCGTAAAAAAAATATTTTCCCAACCCACACTTCAAACTATTTGGTTGAGTGAAAATCGAACCGTCTTGTTAAAGGGAAGTTCGCATGCATGAAATTTCCCGCACCGGAAAAAATTACTACCTCAAAACTTAAATAAGCGGCTATTTATCCCCGATGCAGTATTCTCCGATAGTATATGGGATAATGCCTAACATAGAGTACACTATTATATATAAATATGAATATCAACCCATAATAACGTAAAATTATATCATATTATGCTAATTGGTAATTAGATTATAATAGAAAACCACACTACATATAATTTAATTTGTATTGTTAATATTTACTCTACAACGAGAAGATAAAAAAAATGTACTATTGATTTTTACTTTCCTATCTGTATACAGATAAGGAAAGTATAGGAATATTGATTTTTTTGGGGTCCCTGGAATCCGTTTTGACTATTTTCGGGATGATGTCTGTCTGTCTGTCTGTCTCTCTGCGTGTGTGTGTGTGTGAGTGTGTGTGCGTGCGTGCGTGCGTGTATGTGTGTGTGTTTGTGTGAGTGTTTATGTGTATGTGTGGGAGGTCGTTTTTATATTTTATGGAATATATCTGTTATTTATGTTTGGAGAAGAAAATTGTTATAATAAAAATTACTTCTAATATTATTATCTATAATTTTTGCTTAATGTCAAATTTTCCTGAAATGGTCCGTATTCGAGAAATTTGACAAAATGTGCAAAATTCTGGTTTTTGAAAAAATTGTTAAACTAAATGTTGTTTGCGATATTGATCTCTATAATTTTTGTTTTTACATGATTTTTCTAAAATGGACCGTAATGGAAAAATTGGAAAAAAGTGCTAAATTTAAATTTTTCAGATGTATGTGGAAAATGTACATATTTAGTTTATACTCCACACATTTAGGGAGGTGCTACAATAGGTTGTACAAAATAAGCGGAAAAAGCCTATAATAACTAGATAGGAAAGTCATGTGTTGGACACATCAGATTTTTTGTAAACATTTAAAATTTTTATACGTAGGTAGGTTTAAGGGGCAATGTGTGAAAATATTTTAACATGGAAGGTCTAAGAGACAAAGAAAACAAATATTTTTACATGCGCAGGCTAAAGGGCTAAAGGGATCATATAATTTTACATGGACAGATTTAAAAGAGACCAAATATTTCTAGATAAATATGCTTAAGAAATAAACAGCCCAAATATTTTACATGAGCAGGCTTAAGATGTCAAGGGACCAATTATTACTAAATAAATTGTTCGGACAAGTAGTGAACCCTAATCAAAAGTCGATATGGAATAGTATCACGTGGTTTAACCTAAGTAATGGCAATGCTTCACAAACCTGAAAATTCAACGTCTTTATATTATTATCATCGGCTTTCGGTCTTTCGTTCCAAATCAAATCATTTCTCGTTTTTTTACGCTACGTGTTTACCCTTGTGGGCTTCAGTTTCGATAAGGTGGGAACCACTAATTTAGCGTCTCTCAAATTATAAAAAAAATTCATCAACTGTATAGGGATTCTATTTACTACAGTACGTTGTAATTTTATATATTTTTTTTTATTAATGTGTGTTCGGCGTAGGCTTTGTCACTGTTTCCCATCGCTACTCTAGGAACACCACTGTTAATTAGAACCTTATATGAATCTATATTTACTTTGGTTTCTACCTTGAATTACTAAAACTTTATACATAAAATAACAGGAATAACATAACAATTCGAGATCCATCAAAATAAGTAATGCCATGACCATCTCTAATCTCCATTACTAAACTTTCGGTAGTTTCTTCGAGTAAGTTTTTTGTATAATTTTTTCTTAGCCAATTATTGACTAGAAGTACTAAGTATACTAAAAATAAAGACAAGTGGAACAGAAAAACCCTTGTACTAATACTAACCTATTTAACTCTGTATGCGGTTATCTCTACTAATTTTCTTTTCTAGTAGTCGAAGTTCATGTCTGGCAAAGGTCCAAAGAGTTCATGGATCGTTTGAAAATACTCAGTTTGAAAGTGTGCAAAGAGAAATTACAAACAGCATTGTTTTGTACATTCAGATTAAATAAATTTATATTATAGCGAATTTTTGACCTAAACTCCATTTACACGTTTATAAGAACAGTAATGAAGTAAAAAACAAGTTTGGTTGCAATTTTCATAAATTGAAACCATATAAAAATTTCTACAAATTTACTGATTTTAAATCAGTGGTTGACAGATTACTATAAATAATTCTAATTTCTTGAAATTCACCAAGTATAGGATTTGCATTATTAATTAATCGAACAAGGCATGGAGAAGTATGTTTTTTCCTTTATCCGTTTTTGAGTTTTCTTCAAAATTCTAAATTTACACATTTTCTTAAATATCTCGAATACGGTCCATTTTAGAAAAATTATGTATGGGATAAAAATTATAGAGAATTATATTACAAACAACTTTTATTTGAACAATTTTTAAAAAAAAATTAAATTTTTTACATTTTATCAAATGTCTCGAATACGGACCATTTTAGGAAAATTTTGTAAAAAAAAATTATAGAAAATATTTTAAGTAACTTTTATTTGAAGAATTTTTTTCTCTAAACGTAAATAACAGATATATTTCATAAAATATAAAAATGACCAATTATAAAGTACCCCCCAAAATGTTCTGACTCTGCCCAAAATTTTATCACTTTTATAACTGGAGGCCGGAATAAAGCTTAAGTTTAAAATTTTCTTTGTATCGGTTCATGAGTTATGGTGGACCACACACACACACACACACACACACACACACACACACACACACACACACACACACACACACACACACACACACACACACACACACACACACACACACACACACACACACACACACACACACACACACACACACACACACACACACACACACACACACACACACACACACACACACACACACACACACACACACACACACACACACACACACACACACACACACACACACACACACACACACACACACACACACACACACACACA